TATAAAATGATGTGAATCACACGCTGTGGCCTTCATAGTAACCTGTTAGAGATGGCCTCCACATCATTAAAACGGTAAATAATGAAATGTCTTATGAAAGAAAGCAGTTCAGTTGTTCTGCTAGAACCGCTCATCACCATGCTTCATGTTGAGTTATCCTTTCATTTGTGACACATCCTTTTATCTAGCGATTTATTTCGTCTTCTTGCACATATAAAGGACAAAACTAACAAACACTTGTACTGCTGTAATTACTAACAGCTACATCTTTGCATTTGGAGACTCACAACCATGCCGTGTGTATAAAGCCTGTTTGTAGCACAGCCTTTGAGGCTTATGTACTGAAAAGTCTGAGTTTCAGTGCGCAGCAGCCTTGAAGAAAAATGCTCCTTTCATTACTTCTGCATAGGCACAGACATGCATAAGTGCGCACACACACACACTTTTCACAACAACATGTAAATAGCCCACTTGTAAATAGCACATTCTTGCACACATGTGCACACGCTCCATACAGTAAACACTGACTCTTTCTTTTGCTGCCATCCTCATCAGATTGATGCCCACGAGGACGACGTGAACGCGGTGGCGTTCGCCGACAGCTCGTCCCAGCTGCTGTTCTCTGGCAGCGATGATGCACTGTGCAAGGTGTGGGACAGACGGACGCTGCGGGAGGACAGACCGCAGCCTGTTGGACAGCTGGCCGGCCACCGAGACGGCATCACCTTCATCCACAGCAAGGTGGGTGCGAGTGTGTGTGTGTCTGTGAGGGGGGATCTCTCAGTAAAAAGTTTTCCAGTTACTTGGAAATGGTTTAAATGAGAACATTAATCGTACAGGATGTTTATTCAATCACATGTATTGTTCTAACTCTCAGATCTCGGTCTCTTTTTTTTTTCCATTTTGTCACGGTGCCAGGGTGACGCTCGCTACCTGATCAGCAACTCGAAGGACCAGTCCATCAAGCTGTGGGATGTCAGGAAGTTCTCGCCCAAAGAGGGGCTGGCAGCTTCCCGTCTGGCTGTCACCCAGCAAAACTGGGACTACCGCTGGCAGCAGGTTCCCCAGAGAGGTGAGGAGGGGAGGGGCCGAAGAAGGGCGAAAGGGAGGTACTCGTGGTAAATGAGTCAGAGGGGAAGTTGGAGGACGAGAGGAGGAGAGGTCACACAGAGGAGGAGATAAAGATGAAATGATGATATTAAAAAAAGAGAGAGAGGAGGCAGTAACAGGGAAGAGGTAGGTGTGTGTGTGTGTGTGTGTGTGTGTGTGTGTGTGTGTGTGTGTGTGTGTGTGTGTGTGTGTGTGTGTGTGTGTGTGTGTGTGTGTCGTGAGGATAAAAAGACTCTAAAGCCACACGTAGGGAGAGTGATTACCATTACAAGCCAAAGAGGAGGGAAGGAGTGGAGGAGAGGTGAAGGATAGGAGTTTGGATAATGAGATAGAGGAGGAGACGAGGCGGTAAAAAACTAAACAAAATGAAACGATCTAGTTCAGGGTGCAGTTTCTTCTAAGCTTGATATAAATCTACATGGTCTTTTGGATTAAAGTTGAGGACAAGTGTGAGGAAAGAGCATAAACAGTAAAAAAAAACATTTATAAAATGGAGAAATCCTTGTGCATCTTTTTGTTATTTAGCAGTTTTGTGTTTGTTTACTTGCTCCTCGCAGCCCTTAAGAGACACAAGCTGACAGGCGACACCTCAGTAATGACCTACCGAGGTCATGGCGTCCTCCACACCCTGATACGCTGCCGTTTCTCACCAGAGTTCAGCACTGGGCAGAGATTCATCTACTCCGGCTGTTCCACGGGCAAAATCGTCAGTAAGTGACTGTGTGTGTCTGTCAGTGTGTAAACGGCAACAAAGTCTGCGTGAGCTGATGCACAAAGTAATATTTGAAGAATCGAAAATCAGTTGAACCCTGTGTGTGTGTGTGTGTGTGTCCAGTCTACGATGTGCTGACCGGCACGGTGGTAACCAGACTGGTGGGCCACGACGCGTGCGTGAGAGATGTCAGTTGGCACCCGTACGAGGACAACATCATCAGCAGCTCTGTGAGTGCGGTTAATGCAGAAAGTGTCCTGCTGGAATCAGCGTGTGAAAGCTCGTCATCATAAATATCACATTAAACCCAAAAGAAAGCCCTTTCCAGAAGTTGTAAAACGATTTAATAGAGTGGCGTTAATCCCAGACACTGTTTCCTCTACTAATGGAATAAGGCATAATTTAGAAAAGTCTGAGACAATTTGATACGTTTTCTGGTAATTACGGGGGAAAAATGACCATTTGCAGAAATAAACCACTGTTTTTCCCCCTCACATATTCCATTAAATTAGACTTTTTAGCAATTTCACTACTACCACTACTTGATAAAATGGAAAACAACATTAAAGCAGTGCAAATGAACTGAGCTGTTTCGACTAGAAGAAGGAAGCAGACATGAGATGCAGAGTACTTTATGTTTATACTTTACACCGCTGAGGCCTGGACCTAATCACACACAAGCAAAGCTGGATTTATGGTCGTGCAGTGCTGCTTCCAAGCGTAGCTCTTTGGGTGTGCAGAGAGGAGGATTGTGGGAGTTCAACCAGCAGAGAGGCTACAGCAAGGGTGCAGTCCTGCAGAAAGTAAACACAGCTTTGCCCCCGAGCAACGCGTCAGAGGAAAAAGTGAATTAAAAATCCCAAAAAGCAAAATAAGAAGCGCAGAAATTGGAGGTTTTCCTACATATTTTGACTCGGCCACTAAGTAGGTCTGCAGAACTCTGTGTAGCACATATGCGCTATTGATGTAGTAGCATATCAAGACCATAAATTAGCTCTTTGCTTGGCTAATAAAAATGCTGCTTCTTTTCCATTTGTGGTTAAAAGCTGCCGCTTGTTTTGTTGGCATAAAGCATGAATCACGTCACCGTTATTTAACAGAGCAGACAGGCTCAGCAGCTGTTTTAAAAGTGATAACAAGAGTCCATCCAGCTTAAGAACATTAAACTACGGGGCTTAGATGGCACAGTTATTATTTTTTAACCTCTGATCTCCATCCTTTCTCTACAGTGGGACGGAGCGGTTCGAATGTGGGAGCACAGACAAACCCATCCCCTAGACGAGGAGCGAGACACGGCAAGGGGAGGAGGAGGAGAGGAAGGGAGCTGTTGGAGGAAGTGATGTTAGCACAGAGGAAGGCAGTGAGCTCAGAAGGCCTGGGAGAGACTTGAGTATCTGCTAACGTTAGTGCGGGATATTAGTGATTCAAATGAAAGCGTGGCTGAGAAAAGTTCACTGGGAAGGCGCCTGAGCCTCGTGCTGTCCAGTGCCGATCAGAACACGGCGGGACGGCTGTTGCCACCTGCAGCTGTTTTTCTGGTTTTTTTCCCCCCCTGTTTTTTTGTTTATTGCCTCATGTCTTGCACAGAATAAGGAGGCCAGAGCTTTTTCAATCCAGCCTGGGACATTTTACTCAAAATGCGCTGAAGCTGCACTTAACGAGCTGTTGGAATGAAACAATAAGTTAGTGATTTTATACATATATATATATATATATATATATATGGAAAAAACAACTTTGGATGTTGCAGGGGAACGTAATGATGATAATTTTGTAAAAATGTATAGAATTTTAATTTGTTTGTGTGTGTGTGTGTGTGTGTGTGTGTGTTCCGGGAGTGTATTTAGATTGTCGTCAGTGTCCTGAGTCTGTTTGGACTCTGCTGTTATGAATAACACAACACAGGCTGTGTCCTATTTTAGGGAACATCTACCTTTACAGACTCAACATATAATCATAAACATTTTTTTTCCAGTTGGCAAACTCATGAAGCTGATAATTGCGTTAGCTTTCCTGAGTTTATTCAAAACTCGACAGGCTCAAGGAAGTTTCAGTCATTATTCGACCTGGTCTGCCTCATCAGAAAGAGTTTGAAAGTTTTCGCTGTTATTCTGAATCCTCTGTAGGCTTCCTCAAGGCTAATGTTAACTCCCTGTCCCTCAGACACAGCAATATTCTCGTTCCAGGGTCAGCACTCAGTGTAATTTTTGGCTAAATGTAAGCCTGTGATTTGATTCAAAGATTTGATTGTGTGTGATTAATGTGTTCAAGTCAGCACTTTGGGGAAGGGGAACACGCACATGGTTTCAAAATGATCTGTATATGCAATTTTCAGGTGTTTATATCAAAGCTCATATTTCACTCTCAGACTTTGCAGTTATAATAAAAACCTTTGTTCAAACGTATCACGAAGGGGCTGTTGGTCATTGATCAGATGTTTCAGGCTTTAAAAGTGTGGGAGCTGCAGGAGAAACTAGAACGACACTTCAAACAACACACATGACTCACGGGATGGGATTTTTAAACATTTGTCATTGAGCTTCTCTGTGTGTTTTATAGAGCTAACTGCAGCTGCCAGATATGCACACAGTTGACAATTAGCTGCTACAGGAGCCATAGCAAAGTTGTCTGAAGGTCATTGTAATGTCAGCAGTGCACTTACTGGCCTAAAATTAGACCTAACATACTTTGGCGTGCCTGGTTTCATTTACACCTACTGTTCTGACTTCTTACAAAAGACTCCAAAGCTCTGCTGGAAAAGTGCATCATCACAGTGAATTTCAAAAGTTTGCACTCATCATTTTTATTATTTACTACACTGGAAAGCTTTCTCTGAATAACTTTGAAGACTAACGAGAGAAACCAAAAATCCACCACCTCATGGAAGTTAGCAGTCCGTCTGCCATTAGTCTGCACTGGCTTGTGAAAACGGCATCAGTGTGCTTTATGTGAGCATGAGTACCACGGAAAGACTAAATGTAGTCCATTTGGCTCAGACGGTTGAAGGGGGGCTTTAAGAAGCTCCAGCCTGAGTACTGAGCCTGGAAATAAAGCAGACTGAACGTGCTGTGAGAAATGCAGCTGTCCATGGCGCCAAATGCAAGCTGGCAACCGCTTATAACTTAAATTAGTTTTGGCTCCAACAGCTCATTCTTAGACTGGAGAGTCCTGAAGGAGAGAACCGGAAAAGGAGCTAAATGATCCAAGGTCAGAATGAGACTACTATTATTATTACTTTTCCCAATGCAGGAAATGCAAATATAAGTGAGCAGCATCACGAGAGCTATTTTAAAAGAACTGGGATTTTTGTCATGAACTAAAGATTCATTTTGTTTACTTTTGAATTGTGTTTGAGCATTGCTGTGAAAATAATGGGGTCAATTACAGCAGCAAGCATTACTGCATCTCCTCTTTCTGCCTACGGGGGAGGGGTTTTGAGGGTAAAGGGGACATGGAGGGGGGGTTGTATTTTTGTAAACCATGTGTTCTCTCGCGTGCCTGACAGTGATAGAATAGAAAGGTCCTGGAGTGGGACGGGTGTCCTTTTCCCAGACAAAAGCAAGCGAGGCAGACTCCACAGAGAGGGAGGACGAACGCGGGTCGAACAACATGAATCTAAAGACAGGAAACTCCTCAAATGGCTTCACACCAGAGATCAGTTTGGATAAACTACACCGGATGGCTGCAGAGCTGATACTGCCTGGACGATCCATCTTGAGGCTCCTGAACACTGTTCTGGAGTTTGTTACAAACTTTCTGGCCCGAGTTTTAGGAAGCAGCCTGATCAGAAGACACTTCCACCTGCTGCTGTCTGGATTGGTCCTCTTTGGGCCTGTGCTCAGCTTCTGGGTATCAAAGTATAGCATCTTTGCAAACAGCAACCACTACCTGTACAGGTGAGGACTCCGGGAGACAATGAATTACTGCTTATAGTGCTTTGCGTACACCAGGGGTATCAAACATAAAGCACAGGGGCCAGAATTGGCTATTAGGTGGAGGACCTGTTTGTGGAGAGTTTAGCAATGATTTATCATGATTTAATTGGATGGAAATAATTGACTGAAATAGCTGTAGTAACTGCTGTCATTGCTAAAGGAAACTGTATATCTTTGATAAAGACACTGCTCCTTTAATAAACTCTTGACTCTGTAATAAAACCCAGCGCACCCTTGCTCACTGTAGTGCTCGCTGGGCTTTTACTGCTTCAGCCCTACTTAATCTGTTTTGATGGCAAACTTTCACTGAGTCTTTATTCTGAGTCAGCTTGTGGAACAATACAGTTCAGCATTTACAATCATCATAATGTCATTTGGCCCACTGTTTTAGGTTCATATAATCCATCATATATTTTTAAAATCCAGTTATGATATTAAATTATTCCTCATTTATTTTTGTGGATGCTTTGCTGCCACTCATTTGTCACATACACTGAGTAAACCCCCACCCAAAAACCAATACAATATTAATATACCACTTTTGAAAAACAAAAGCAGCACATAAATATTGTATGATAATGTCATTCTGAGGTATGATGATAACTATGAGGCAGTAGCAGAATTAAAGTCTTCCTCAGACTGTTCAGTGCACTTACATGGAACTAATTAAGTGAAACCACCGGCTCATCAACTTTGATACCTCAAAGCAAGTTTGAGTGAACTGAAAAAGTTAAAAAGACTCAGCTTTGCTGTAAAGCTTGAATTTTTATGCATATCAAAAATAGATTTACTTTCTGAGCACTGTGTTAGCAAGAAGCTCCTGGATCTGACCTGCTGGCTGCCTGAAGTCTTTGTGTGTTCTGTGTGGAGTCTGGATGTTCTTTCTCTGGCTTTCTCCGCCAATTCAAAGACATAAATGTCAGGGTAACTGGCGAATCTAAACTGCCCCAAATTGTGAATATGAGCATGAACGACTGACTTTCAACCTCCCCAGGATCCTCCTGTTGCTGTGACTGTGAGGAAAAAGTAATTCTACACATATTTCATTACTGCGTGTGTTTTGCTCATATATATGGTGTGTACTGATATCCTTATTCATCACGCTCTCACAGGAAGTTCCTGAGGTCCACTTGGGGTTGGACCTGCATCTTTACGAGCGCTTTCATCATCCTTCTCTCCCTCTCAGTCCGTCACTCCACCTCTCTTTCCCTCCGCCACCTCTCTCGAGTAGGCCTCACGGGTTTGCTCTGGTGGAGCTGTCAGCGCCTCCTGACCCTGCTGGAGGATGCAGCGGGGACCTGTTACGAGCCCATGACCCCAGGCCAGGACGGCCAGAGCCCGGCCTCCCCAGTACAGCCTCTGCTGCTCCTGCATGAAGACCAGAACAAGGCCTCCTGCCTGAAAGCCCACATGCTGTGGCGAGGCTACGAAGTCTCCCAGGACGTCCTCATCCTCTGCTTCTGCTGTCTGCTGCTTGTTGAGGAAATGTGTGTCTTTGGTCATCACTTGGAGCGACAAAAGCCTCTGCAGAGGTCACCCGGAACCCCGCTGAGAGTCGTCTTCCTCCTGTGTGTTCTTCTCCTCCTTGTTTGGATGTTTCTGCTGCTGTGTTTGCTTGCATACTTCCCAAAGTTTCCCTCCCAGCAGCTGGGTGGAGCTCTGGGCTACCTGGGGTGGAGAGGACTCTATCACGGATTGTATAGACTCGGATCGAGATGGGGTTGTCCTGGTTTGCCCAGAGAGGGACTTTCTACCACGGTGCACACCAACAAACAGCCTTAGTAGTGTGGCACCCTTAATGAAAATGGTTAGATTTTGGCACTGAAATGTCCTTCAAAGCTCAGGAACAAACTTCCAAACCCTCTTTTAAGACTGCATGCTGTAAATGTGACATCACGTTAATAGTTTGCTTTCTTTAGAGGTCAAAATTAGTCCAAAAAGAAGCTTAGAAATCTCATTCAGACAAAGTAAGTGAGAAAAACTGCTGCTTTATTGTGTAATCTGAACCAAAATACAGGCACAGTTAGAAAAAGATTTCTGGGAGCAGGTGTATCATTACTTGATGAAGAGTGTCATTCTACACTGGTTGTTGCTTATTAAAAAAAAAAAACGAGCCTGGAGTCTGCCTCAGTAGATGAGCGCTTTCCCATCTCCTCTGGGTCTCTTAATCTTGTCAAAGTTCTTGTTAATGATGTCAAACAACACAGCCTGGAGAGAGAAATAAAGACACAGAGTGTGATGCAGAAGCAGGATGATATAGGGAAGACAGACAGTTTACAGGGAGTCATAAAAGAGAGGGACGTCCAGATATGGAGCTGTAATCACGTCAAACAGCTCCTTTCATCATCGCCCGCAACGCCTTGTTCATTAGCGGCATCAAACACGGGAGGACAATGGCCGAAGGAAAGAGACGAGCTGATTAATGGACGGGAGACGGAGCGCCAATCAATTTAACACAAGCACTGCAATTAGTTTAATTACCCTCCTATTAAGAAGGAATGGATTCCATTTAAGCTGCCGCTCCCGCCGGTGGACACGACAAGCATATTTTACACCCAAGCCGCTCAATTTAAAATACAGAGCATGAAAACAGCAGATGGTACACGGAGTGTGGATCATGAGATTCAGGATACACGCAGTCAGAGAGGGCCAACTGTAAGCAAGAGGCAGTGGGTGTCTTACGTATGTATTGCGGATGTCCAAGACCACAAGGCGGAGCTCGCAGTATTGATATTGGTCCAGCTCGTGGACCAGCTGTCTGTAGTCTCCCTGCAGCAGAAAACCCACACCACAAACAGCGAGCGTATTAGCAAAACAATGTGTAGTATGATAAGCACATGACACAACAGCAACTAATTTATGCGGGAGAGAATGTCCTCATAAGTTTTTTTTTTCAGCGCACCGGCACACATTTTTCTCATTCACACATTAATATGCTTATTAGGATGCACAGCGGGAGACACTGACCACGTGGGGCGACTTGGAGGCTTTGGCCACAGCGTCACCCCTCTCGTTGTAATACCTGCCAAAACAAGGAGAAGAGAGGAGTTACAGTACCACCCACCTGTTTTAAAATAGCCCCCAGCGTTTCGCTAAATGTCACATCCAATGCCATATTCAACACATCAGTCTGGTTTTTAATAAAAAGACAAAGCAGAAGACTGCCTCTCATTATCTCTGTTAAGATTTTCTCACTTTTAAATGTGGAATTGAAGCCTTTCTGATTCTGCTTATATCTATATGACTTTTTTTCTGTTTGACTTCACTAAATAAAGATGGATGAGACCCTCTGAAAGCCTGAATTGCTGTTTATATGTATAGATTTCTCAGTAATTGTGGATATTCTTATGATACTGAGCGCAGCAGGTTTTGTGGTTTTCTCTGCCAAATACTTTTGATGGAGTAATGTCAGGTCTGTTTTCCTGGCTACGTCAGTGCAGGCTCTTACTTTGAAATCTGAGTCTGGAATCCTTCGATCTTGGTGCGTGTGTTGGTCAGCAGCTCAAACACTTTCTCCTGGTGGACACGAAGGAAGATTTAAAATGCAGCTGGATAAATTTCACCCTAAAGATAGACTCCACATGCGATTGTTTACTAACCTGGACAGCCACTCCGAAATTGTTCCCATCCTCAATTTTAGGAATCTGGAGTTGCACCCACATTGACACCTTCCAGGAAAATAAAAGGAAAAAAAACCCACTAGTACAATATACAAGACTTTTTATCACATTAATATTTTCTGCACATAAAACCCGACGCATTTTTCTCCACATAAAGTTCTGAGACTGACCGTGTTGAGCTTCTCCTTCAGTGTCTGGATCTCAGTTTTGACCTTCGGCAGGAGGCTCTCCACCTTCTCATTGGTGCAGATGGGACCACATGGAGGGCCTGGAGGACAGAGGATAGCACTCCTTCACTTAGTGAGCTGCAGATTTGCTTTTCTAATATAGAAAAAGTTCCTTATGCCCTTGCTTTCTTCCAGTTAGCTAATCCGTGTGTAAACGGTGTTTAAACTTTGTATTGTCAGCTCATGAGCCACAGTAGACTCATCAGTTTGTTACAAAGGAGCCAGAAAAGCAGTGATGTGTTTCATACATGGGTTTGGAGCCTTTCTTCCTGCAGTATTTATTGTCCTTATTTACAGGAATACGGTTACTGCTAAACGAATGCATCTTTCTTTCTATTTTCCCCCCATTTACCTGCGTCTTCATCCTCTTTATCACTGTCCTTGTCTTTCTTCCCCTCCTTAGCCTCCTTCTGTAAAATAAGAATAGAAGGCATCGGGTCAGAGTTTTTGCTGATGATTAATCTCCAAGACAGCTGGGCTGCACGCCTTTTTCTCTTCTGGCTTTTCAACCTTGGGATCTCTGTTGGATTCTTTTTCTTTGCTTAAGACATGTAACCCAGTTGCAGCAATCTGTGCCCCTTGATATTCTAAGGAGACTCCAGCAGCTCCCGAAAGTTGTGCAACCACCCCAAATATTCTCCTAACCCTCGTTAAAAAAACCCAGTGGCATTAGCTCTCTGGCCTCCTCTAAATCCCTGCATGAGTATTAGTTCAAGACACACAGCCTTTGTACGGTTTATAAAAATCTGAAATTCACAGCCGACTGAAGTAACATAAAAGACCCGCTCGCTGCCAGTTTGTAAAACAGCCCTTGGAAATTGCACTGTGATTGGTTGTCATGGTAACTGGGGACTCAGCATTGTGTCTTTATATAATGAAACACTAAATATAAACCCTGAGCCGAGGACCCCAGTTGAGAGGAGGCTCTATGAAGAAATTCAAAGGTTAGACAAATAAAACACAGATGTGAGGCTCCTCGATATGAAAGCCATTACATCTGGGTAATGGAAAAACAGCCGTCCTTCATAAATCACCCCGAATGCTCCTTTATTGGATTTATATCACAGTTTTAAAAAACAGTCTTCTGGGATGGAGTCCCCACCTGCTCTTTTTTCTTGCGCTTGGCCTCCTCTTTCGCCGGATCGGGTATCGGGATGTCGAGTGGAGCCTTCAAAGAAGGCAGATCGTTGCATCTGAAAGACTGACGCACAAACACAAGTCACCCAATGTGAGAATCAAGAGCCCAGTGGTATGTGCCCACAGTCACACAGGTGGATACCTTCAGCAGCTCCTGCAGCTCTTCAAGCTTCTGTGGGAAATATGTTGACACCAGCACCTCCGCCTGTTAAAACCAAGTAACAAAATCCACATTAACAATTCAAACTTGTGAAGCAGAGCTGGGAAAGATTTCGGATTTTCGTTTGAGTTACCTCCTTGGTGAGCTTTTGGCAGAAGTCGTCCACCTAGAATAAAGTCACAGATTTTAGGCTTGCTTATAAATGACCGTTTTATTTAGCCCCTGCTGCTGCTCACCTCCCGTGACCCCTGCTGTCCGTAGACAAACCCCATGAAAACAAACACTTATGTGGACACTAGCTCGCCTGCTAGCATCACTGACACACTAACCATGTAAGTGAAGGGAAAGGAGAGTTAGCTTGCTGCTACATAACACTTTGTGCTAGCGGACTCACCTGTTTCTTCGACTTGAGGCGAATATCCACAGCAGCCATGTCGTCTTTGGAGAGCAGAAGTTGTTTATTAGAGTTTAGTAAAGGCTTTGACTTCACAGGAGGCGGTTCGAAATAAGAATATGCTCTCTTTCTGTGTAATTCAATTCCGTGCACGACACGGACAAATACTCACAGTTACTCAGCATAAAAAGCGAAAATGAAAGTAAAGAGTGTTTTAGACAGTTCCGTACTTTCCTGCAGTAATAGCGAATGGACGTGTTGCATTGTGGGCCGTGTAGTTTTATTTGACTTTATTTTATAAGGAGCAGTCGACTTCTCATTTCCCAGAAAATGGGGCTGTGATGGGAACAGAGTGGGGAAGTCTACAAGCAAAAAAAGACACTCAGAGAAATGCGTTTCTGTGTGGCAGTAGTTATTTCTTTGTCTTCGAAGGGCTAACCCTCATCCAAGAATAAAAAAAAGTCACCTAACTCAAGGGATGAACCAATGTTGAGTCTAAACATACACAATTTAGCCTCAAAAACCAATTCTTAAGGCACTTTAGTACGAGCAGCCTATCACAAAAACATATTTCGCCCCCTCATCGTTAAATCTGCAAAAATACCAAATATAAATTTGACAGGCATAAAATTATATTTTTGGACTAACAAGTTGATTCCTAAAAAGCTATTAGTTGAAAACCTGACATTTATCTGAGAATTTTGCAGTATGTCCTTAAAGAATTGAGGAACCTATCCTCAAAAACAGGATGATAAACCTAAAAATAGATAGACCTAAAAACTGTCTACAGCAGAAGAACAGTATCTGAAAGTCATGTCCTTAGAAGCAGGAAAAACAATACATCAAAAACCTGACACAGGACCTGAGAGACGCATCTGACCTTTTATTCATCTATTGCCTGTCCCGTTTGGTTCTTTTGCCATCAGAATTATTGTCTAAAGGCGAGGAAAGATGCCCAACGGATTTACTTTACCAAATGGACCATCCCAGCCTTGCCGTAATGGTCTATTTGATTCACCTTTTATTGTTTATTTTATTTTTTTATTTTCACTTGCAAGATACGGGACAGACTTGAATGAGGAAAAGAAAGGGGAGAAAGGAAGAGGGGGAAAAACAGCGGAGAAGAGGGACGGGGATAAAGGGCAAAAAACAAAAACCAACTAAATAAGCAGACAAAAAAAATACATATCAATCACCTGGATCACCTGTTGAAAAAGAAAAAAGAAAACAAGCAGAAGAATACGAGAGCAATACAATAAACAACATCATGATGATCTATGGGAATATAACAGTAAATACTAAATAATAAACATTATTGTGCAGCACGTAATATCGACAGC